GCGTGTCACGGAAGGCTCATCGCCGAGCACGGCGGGCGCATCAGCGAGCTGCATGGTTCGCTTGCAAAATGCTGCGCCATTGAGTTCGTTGACGCATAACGGCGCCATCTCGCGAATCATGTGGTTATTGGGGTTCTGTCCGGTACAGATGAGCTGGAGTGCGGTCAGCTCGTGTTCGTCATATACGCCTCAGGAAAGACTCACAATCAACTCAGCCGGAACAGTTTGACCTGAGTTGGTCTGGATAGTGCGGCCCTTAATTACGGCGTTCGGATCGACTCCGTCGAGGTTCACGCGCGTTCCAAGGACGAGATCCACACCGACCTTCTTGAGGTGTGCCGACGCTGTGTTCGTATCATGAGCGCTATTCGGACTGCACACAGCTGAATAACCCTACCCTTTTCGTGCATCCACTGATCAAATAAGGGTAGCAAATGGCGAGAATGACATAGCGTAACCTTTTTCCCGGGATAGACGTCTGCGATGTCGCCAGCGTACTCTGTGACAGCAGTAAGCACATTGACGACGTCTACAAGAAAGCGCGACTCACGAACTCCCAGCGCGCCACCGCCGACAATGCATACCGACTCGGCGTCACGAATGCGATTCTGCTCTGCGACAAGCCAACGGCAACCCTCTGGCTTCGTTCCATGCGGGGTATCTGGCGTGGTGTGTCCTTCGATACCGTCAAACTTGCCCCAGAGGTTGATAGGCGGCGGGAGCGACGCTCCGACGGAGTAGATCAGGAAGTCGAAGTCGATGGTACCATGCGGCTCAGACGCACGGTCTCCGTCCAAGTACTCGACGTGCAGACGGCGCGGCTCGAGCTTAACCGCCCGGGCGTGTATGATTCTATGTCTCTCCCAGCCAGGAGGATTTGAAACTTTCCCGTCGACTAGTGGATGGAAGAGATTCGTTTGCGGAATAACTGTGGACGCAGGGTAAGGTGTGACGTCGCTGTAGTGTACACAAGCAACGTACGAGCTTTGAATTCGTGCCCAGAGAGAACTGATACGCGAGGGAAAGCATACAGATCTGCGCAAAATAAGAGTGAGCGCAAGGGCCGGAGCTTGCTATAACGCACGGTTGAAGTGGGTGGCACGGTCGATAGCTAACACACGCCAGCCCGGAGGACAAGATAGGGCAAGTATTTGCAACGCTCGAGTGCCTATAGATGATTTCACGTACGTCAAGACGCATGTGGATTTGGTAGCCCTGGGACTACGTACCAGCGTAGGCACATCCCAGAACGACGATAGTCTTTGTGCTCTGAACGGACACCATAGTGATGAGGGAGGAGAGATCAAGGCGGATGGGGTATCAGATAAGAGCTTCTTATGCAAATCTCTCGAGGTCCCATCACCGCGACCGTGCAGGTGCCGGCGGGTTGATTAGGCCCGACGATTATCGCGCCAGACCGCGCGCAGTGCCTATATGCCAAGGCCGCAGAAGGACCTTGTAGCTTGTATACTGCCCTCGAAGCAGCTTGAAGCCTACATACTAGCACGGTACACCGCAAACGATATCGAAACAGGAACGCTTGATCATCCTTTGGCTCGTTTCACCGCATGCGTATCGGACAGCCCAAGCCTGTCCGAGCCGGCGAGGGCCAATTTAGATGTGCTCTGTGACACCCTTGCGGTTGCCAACGTGTACAAAACAGATCATGGATGCATCCGAGTGGGCTCACTCAGCCGGACCATGAGGAGCGGTTGGTGAGGGTAGCGTGCAAGCCACGGATGCGTCGCGCGAGACGGATCAGAACCCCGAAGTGGCTCGGTGCCTGCCGCAGCGCTCGTAAACGAAGGCAGTCCCATGCGTGTTGGGCCCGGTTGCAATTTCCAGTGCTGGCAGACCAATATATATATCCATCTCAAGCACGACTTGCTGTCAAGTACATAGCACTCCAGTTTGAAGTTTGAGCTGTCATTTAATATGCTCTACTATGAAGAAAGCATCTAGGTCTACAATGTGTGGAGATATGATGTCTATATGTACAAAGCATGACGAAACCTTTGGGTGACTCGCCGACTCGCGCGGAGGCCTACGGCCTCCCACCGCGCTTCGTCGTCTCATCACCCTTCATAAGTGTGCGGCCCGGACTTTAAAGTCACCTTGTGACGAGTGTCACGGGGTTTAAAGTCCCCTCCCAAGCAATTTACACCGCGACTCCTGTTACACCATAACCAGAACCTATCGGCTCAGGATATTTAAATCGAAATACACGTGGAAATCCATGGGCTCGTCACGACAGAGTGCTACAAATAATAGGTACATGCCGACAGATATGGCAAACACGATAAGTCGCGCGACTCCCTCCCCGTGCCAATCAAGTACTGGGCTCAAGCCACATCAAGTACAAGCGTGTACATTTTTACGCGAGCCTCTAGGTACTTCGGTGCGACGCGGTTACTTCTTACTCGCGCTCCGGCGTGTACGGGGCACCCAGCTCGCGACGTAGAAGCGCAGAACCTGGACTCCTCGCGCCCGCGCGTAACTCGTGCCAGCCAGGTAAAACGCGATTCGCCCAGTCGTTGTAATTTGGAGCCGCCGCGTAGAACCGAGGCCGCTTCGTAACTCGACTCCTCGCGCCCGCGCGTAACTCGACTCAGCCACGTAAATCGTCATTCGCCGGGCGGTGGTGACTGGGCGCCGCCGCGTAGAACCTGGACCGCCTCGTAGCTCGACTCCTCGCACCAGCGCGTAACTCGCGCCAACTAGGTAAAATGCCATTCGCCGGGCGGCGGTAACCGCGACCGCTTCGTAGCTCAACTCCTCGCTCGTGCGCGTAACTCGCGCCAG